CCGAGTAGCTTGACGGCAAGCGACTTGACGCCGACCAAGGGCTCGTGTGACGAACGCGCGTCGATGCGTGGGTGGCATATCGACGTGCCCGCGTCACGCAACCGGCGACGACTGCGAGACCAGCGATGCAGGGCACCTGCCCAGTGCGTCGTCTCAACATTGCAGATGGACGTTGCAGATCACGATGATCTCGTTCATAGAACCGCCGTCGCTGCAGCGCTTTGCCCTTGGTCGTGGACGCAATGATCCGCTGTCAGGAACATTTAAAAGCGCGAGCGGTGTCGTGGGCTTCTTGTAGTACGTGTAATTCACTCACGCTTCATTTTCACGCCTCGTGAGCACGTGTCTCCCACCACCCTTGGTGCGCAGTCGGAGCAGGACTCAACAATGGTTGGTTCGGTGGACATCGGTGGTAGCATTCTTCCAGCAACAGCGAGAAACAAAGCGTTGTTTGCGGCGACAAAGTCGGCGCTCGTGTCGCTCCTTGGCACGATCAGAGGTAATACGCAAGGAGGGGAAGCAGTGCTCATAGTACATCCTGCATGAGACCTGTCGCACCAAGTAGCGCGACCTCATTTTTGACGGCGTGGCAGACGGCGCGACACCATCCGCACCTTTGAAATGAAGCTGTTGAGAGCTGTGCCAACGCGATCGACCTCAATGACGAAGCAAAGGTGTCCACTTCTGGCACACTCCCATAAGCTCGACCCACTCTAGCTCGACGGATCCCCTTCCTGCTAGGCCGGGACTCGATGATGCTACACGTAGCATCACCAACGATCTATTGCATCGTCTCTCCTGCCTTGGAGGCAAGCACTTCTCCACACACTCCTGCGTGCCACGTCATGGAAAAGATTCAACTTGATTCAAAACAGCTGCGGCACGAGCACGTTTGTCTGAAAGTGCGCGTCAAGCGCGGTTGCGAGCGCGACGCGCTCTTGGACGAGGACGCCGTGGCCCGAGGTGTCGTAGATGAGCTTGGTCGTGCGCTCGCCCTGCAGGTGGTCGTAGAGAATCTCCGTGTTGCGGAAGTGCAGCAGCCGGTCTTGGCCGGCGCCGACGACGAGGATCGGAAATCCGGCTTTTTGGATCGCCTGGAGGCGGCGGGGACTCATGCTGTGCTTCAAGCACGCGGCGTACTGCCCTTTCTTGCCCGATGCCGTGATGCGCGTGCGCTCGAGGCGTTCCTTGTGGAAGACTGAGAGGAGGTCGCGGTACGTCATGGTCGGATTGGTATCGACTCTCGTCTCGAGAAATGCGTCCGAGTACATGGTGTAGAGCATCGTATGCAGCGGGTCGTCGGCACCGACAAGGAGCTTGGCGAGCTCCCAGAAGCCGCCGAGCTGCGGCGTGTGGGGCAGCGCCATGTGCACGCCACCCGGCGTCGTCACCAGCAGTGCGAGCGACTGGACGTGGTCGGGGCCGCGCGACGCGACCTCCTGCGCAATCATGCCGCCCATGCTAAAGGCGTGTATGAGCTACGGATACGACAATAGGATCGGTCTACCTGATGCCGACGACATGGGCCTTGGACCAACCGACGTACTTCATCAACAAGAGCGCGTCGTCGGCCATCTGCGACGTCGAGTAGTACTCGGCGGGCTTGTCCGTGCCGCCAACGCCGCGATTGTCGAACGTCAAGAACTGGTACCGGCGCGCTGTCGCAGTGCCGGGCTCGAGGAGCGTCGCAAGCAGCGGTGCCCAGCCCTCCTTCTCGGACATGAGCCCCATGATGAGGACGACCTTCTCCGGCGCGTCGTTGTCGCCATGGAGTGCATACTCGATCGTGAGCTCATTGGGCAGCGCGACGTGGATGATGTTGCTGTAGAGGGCAGCGATAGATGCTGCCGTGTAAATCGACGCGTCGTTGACCATCTCGGTGAGTTGGAAAATGACAGATTGCGATCGAATCTCCATTCGCCAGGACCATGTCTGTGACACGGGCGCAAGGCCACGCCGCGCCCATGCATGCTCTTTACCTCGTCTATGCCGAGACCTCTGCGTCTCGAGCCTTCGCGACTCATGAACGTTGATGGAAGAATGGCGTGCCCATCACAGACACACTCAACTTTAGCATAACGTATTCAAGTACATGGCATACACGCTGCCACGTCATTTATCCGGATCCGGATACACTGGGGCCATCGGGTTGGCACTGAAGAGCTGCAGCAAGGCGGAGGCGACTTCATGCCGCTTTTGCACGTGCACGCCGTGGCCCGTGTCGTCAAAGATGAGCTTGTGCGTCTGAGGTCCCTTGAGGTGTTTGTAGAGGAGCTTGGAGTTGTCCGAGTGGAGAAGCCGGTCGAGCTTGGCGGCGACAACGAGAATCGGAAAGCCCGCCGCTTGGATCTGCCGGAGCCGGTCGCTGCTCATGTCGTGGCGCAGGAGCGCGGTCGCTTGGCCGATCGCGCCGCTGATTTGGTTGCGCGCGAACTGAAGGCGGTGCATGTGGAAATCTTGGAGCAGCTTGCCCACGTGGCCGTTTGACGCGCCGAGGAACGTGTCCGGGTACAAGATGTAGAGCAGCATGTCGGTGATGCTTTCACGCGTCGGCAGAATCATGTTGACGCACGACTTCCAGTAGCCGGCAAGCTGATAGAGTCGGGGCAAAGGGCCTCGGCGAAAACCTGGCGCCGTCACGAGGAGGCTCAACGACTGCACGCGGCGCGGCGCTGCGTGCGCCAGCTCCTGTGAGATCATGCCGCCCATGCTACAGCTCGACTTGAGCCAAGGAGAAAAGAAGATAGAGTCGACTACCTGATGCCAACGATGTGGGCAGACGGCCACTGCAAGGCGTCCAGGAGCTGCAACGTGTCGTGGGCCATCTGCGTCGTCGAGTAGAATGCCCATGGCTTGTCCGAGCCGCCGACGCCGCGGTTGTCGAACGAGACAAGCTGAACGCGAGGCGCCCTCTCGGCGTCGTCGAGCAGCGTAGCGATAAGCGGAAGCCACGCCTCCTTCTCAAAGTGCAGGCCCATGATGAGAAGGACTTTCTCGGGCGCATCGTCGGCGCCGTGGACTGCGTACTCGACGCTGAGGCCGTTGGGCAGCACAGTGTGCCGCGTCGTCTCGCGGTAGTGCTTGGCGACCGTCGCGGGCGAGAAGACGCTGGCGTCGCTTGGCATGGCCGCCAGAAGCAAGATGGCCCGTCGTGCTTCGAAATCCCACAAGATACCGATGAGATTTCACAACAAGTGCAAACTCGACCAAGAGCATCGCGATCGTTCCAGAGCGTTCGATGCAGCTGCGAGCAAACGGCTCGGCGGTGGCTACGTCGCGTCGCTGCCAATCACCACGACACGTATGGGACGCCGCCTGGTGCGAGACACAACAGCATCGTCATGGCTACGTGTCGTGGAAAGCCGTGTGCAAAACATCTTCGAAAGGCTCTTTGGGAGTCTCTTGACAACCAGGCTCGGCGGGTCCGCTGGTTCGAGTACGCCACGTCGTCGCTTGGTCTGGGCTATCGTTGCCGTGTGGCGGAAGGGCTCAACGAAGCTCGAACGCGATGGCAAGCCACGGCAGGCCAGTAGTCGACGCTCGGCCAAGCCGAATGGTGCGCCAATGCTGGAGTAGGATGGTGAGAAAGGCCCACTTGGCGAGCAGAGTGAAGGAGTGTGGCAACCAAATGGAGGTTTTGGGCCTTTGATTTCTCGCACTGGAACCAGGACTGCAGTCGACTTAGTCAGTACAACCGATTTCACCTCTATACTAGTAGATCTACTGCGCCTCGGGTTGAAGCAATAGGCTGCGCGTGGGCCCTTTCGCTGGGCTCGCAGGTTGTCGTCCTCAGCGCAAGCTCCCATGGCCAACTGCGAGAAGATCACCCGATATTGGATGCATGCATCAAGAGTGATGGTGTTTGCGTCATCCTGTTTAAAACATTTGATCGAGCCTGTACACGGCACGTTTAAAACATGCTGTTACGAACCGGTTGCCAATCTTGAAGCAGCGATGACGACGGAGCTCCTGCCACTGACGCAGCTCTTCACGGACGACGCGCTCGCGCAGCACTACGACCGCGTCGAGACGGCGACGCTGCGCAGCGGCTTGCGCATGGCCTACGCGCTTCACGGCGACGACGACGCGCCGGAGAAGGTCCTCCTCATCATGGGTCTCCTCGGCGACAAGGAAGCGTGGCTGCCGCTTCTCTCGGCCTTCAATGCCAGCGCCGAGCGTCAGCGCTACCAGTTCGTGACGTTTGACAACCGCGGTGTCGGCGGCACGGACAAGCCATGGGGCCGGTATACGACCTCCGGTATGGCGGCGGATGCGATCCAGCTCCTCGACCACTTGGGCTGGACAATGGCGCACGTGGTCGGCGCCAGCATGGGCGGCATGATTGCGCAAGAGCTCGCGTCTTTGTACGCCCATCGCGTTCAATCACTGGCGCTCCTCGTGACGACACCGAGCTTTGTTTGGGGTCCATGGCCGGGCTGGGCGCAGCTCTCAGGCTACTGGGCGATCGCGACAAGCCTCCTCTTCCCGTCGCACCACACGGCCGCGTCGACGATGCTCTACGTGCTCTTCCCAGACGAGTACCTTGGTACTCCCGTCCACGGAGCCGACGACGTGACGACCCGCGCCGTCTTGTACGAGCACCACATGGCGCGACAAGCTCGCGGCGCACCGGCGCTCAGCGGCGTCCTCGGGCAGTACGCGGCCGTCGCGTCGCATGCGATGAGCTATGGTCGCCTCCGCGCGGTGCAAGCAGCCGCGTACCCGATCCTTGTCATCGGCGCCAAGCAAGACCGGATGCTGCACCCCGACCACTCGACGCAGCTCTATGACGCGCTGCGTGGTCCATTGACCAAGAACGTCGTCTTCCATGCCTCGGGCCATGACGTGCACGTCCAGCACCGGAGTGACGTGGCAGCGTCGCTGCTCGCGCATTTTGCCAAGTGTAAAGCGAACGCAGCGTTGGAGTGAGTGAGAGACATGGTTGAAATGGTCGGTTTTCCATTCAGACAACTTGATTTTTGGTGGTGATTACGCAAGCGCGGTGTCGGGCTCCATGATATTAGCGCGTGGCGTCAACGTGCCGAGCGACGGCGCGGCGCTGGGCTTGCGTCCACTACAGTACCGCTGATGTCCCTTGGTCTCGGTCCACACGAGCCGCGCATCTTGACGCAGCGCCGCCACGACAGCGTCGACGAGCTTGCTCACGTCGGTTCCCGGCGGCAAGAGCGGCTGGAGCTGTCCGCGGATGTACGAGACGTGAAAGTCGTTGCCGCCTTCGACCCACCGCAACACCGCGTCGAGGAAGAGCGACATGTAGGCCTCGACGAGGGCCGGCAGGTCGGACGGGGCCA